CACCAACAGTTTCTGTACTCTATGAGCAGAGTAAAGGTACCAAACATGTTGCTATGACAGTGAATAATTCCAGGAAGTACCTACTCTGTGCATACAGAGCTGACTGAACCCAGGCAGAAAAGAATTGGACTCAACATTAAATAGGAAGAAGATATACAAAAAGATTAGTTTATTTTAAAACAACACAGATAATCAATGTAAACTGATGTATCAATGTTCAGTTATACATTGCCACCTGCAGCTTTATTCAATTATTTCTTTCTTTTTTCATCAGAAAATAGTCTTTGAAAAATGAACCCAACTTAAACTATGACCTGAATTTTAGAGGAGGTTAAAATATATAGTAGAATTATGTTTACCAGTTCTATTCTGTACCGCCATCATATCAAGTTCCCTAACGAGTTACTTCATGCTCACTTTGTTTTGTTTGTGTGGCCACAGAAAACAGTTTTCATGGGAGCTAAACAGTCTTCATAGGGATTACCACTTAACCAATAACTAGCACTCATTTGAAATGATTATTGCTCACAATGATTTTTTGGCCTTTATATTTGTGGCCTCAAAAGCATTCTGTCATTTTGTTACTGATTTGATAAACCCCTAAGAATTTATTTCTGACACCCAACAACGACTGGTATGGTAGTGGCTGGAGCCTAAACTCCAACTTCAAGCTTAACTCTTCCTCTCCCCTTGTGACATATTCACCTGTTCTGCGGTCCGTGGTCGGCGCAGGGAGTGACTCACTCCCGCGCCGTCATCTGACTCCTCCGTCCTCAGTCGCTTTAGCCACGAAAGCTCAATCGGCCGCCGTTCGTGCAAAATGAACCTCCTCTCTGAACTCTCTGGAGCCTGTAACTCTACTGACAGGCATTTCGCTCCTCCCTGGCTTCAGTGTCACTGAACAAGCTCCCCTGAGACCAACTAACTGAATGCTGCAGTTGATCATCCTAACAAACTGCTGAACCGCAAGTATAGATTCCATACCTCTGCATCTGTTGTTTGCCACTCTGTCACCAATAGCAATGGACTGCTGCTTCTGTGTATCTGTCAAGCTGTTTCCAATAGCAACAGACTGCTGCTTCTGTGTATCTGTCAAGCTGTCTCCAATAGCAACCTACTGCTGTATCTGTTTAAATGCCAAGCTATCTCCAATAGCAACGTACTGCTGTCTCTGTCCATTTGCCAAATAGCAACGTACTGCTGCTTCTGTTTATCTGCCAAGCTGTCTCCAATAGCCCCTTACTGCTGTATCTGTTTATATGCCAAGCTGTCTCCACTAGCAACTATACTGCTGCATCCACTTGTTCATCAAGCTGTCTCCAATAGCAACCTTAGTGACACCGGCTGCTGAACCGCAAGTAATTTACCTGATCTTTTCAAACATTATTATAGACTAGCGTATCATCCAATAAATTGCAATTTATTAAGTAAAAAATCCATACTCACAAGGGTGCACACAGTACAGGCATTAAATATTGCTGGATCAAACCAGTAAGGCAAGTGGCAGCAAACGATAAAACGCCCGTTCGTCCGGCTCAGCTAGGGCAGAGCTTCTGATATCACTGTTTATGTGTTATTTGTAATGTTTTGATACACGTCAACATAGTTACTGATTTGGTGTATATTGATTAGTTTTCTTTAGGATTAAAGCCCTCCTAAGGAAGCCTGTTTTCAGATGAAACATGTTGAGGCATCCAAAGAAAGAATAACATCATGTGCTCAATTTTCCTATGATTAATTAGGCTACTGCAACAATCTGTATCAATTGGATCATGCACAATTTTGTATCAAGTTGCTAAAAATATTTGTAATAATACACTAAATAATATACTAAGTTCATTGTGAGACCAACTTTGTTTCTAAAAAGCCCCCCTTGCCAGGTTTTGCATACCTGGTAATGGTATATTGGTCAGATGATCATGGGTATAGCAATAAAAACTTGACATGTGTTCCAACCCTTCCTCACTAACCAATAGTAGGCTATTGGCTATTTATGCACTTTAAAGAGGAACGTTACCCATATTTTCAAAATAACAACAAAGGCACCTTTAGAAATATTTAGTAATGACAATCTACAAACAGATACTTGCATACCTTATTTTTCTTTTCTTCTTACGGTGGCCATTTTAACTAAGGGTGGATTATTAGAGCTCCCTTTACTTCCTGGATCTCTGGCATATATGACTAGAACATATGCCACATCAGCTCAGGGAGCAAAATGCCTTTCCATGGGATCTTATGAGATTATAGATGAGATTTCCCAGCAATGCTCTGCTGATGTAATCTAACCCAGGATGCAATGCTTGGGCACAATTTAATAATTTGTGCCAAAGTGGGCCAGAAATTGTAAGTAAAACAAAAATGTTTGTTTAGCTAATGAATGAAAGATTATTTCATATCAACAGGCAGAGCTGTATGCTAATGTGATTTTTCGTTAAAGGGGCTAAAGGTCCACTTTAATATCAAAGCTATAAAGTTGTGATACGTTTTCGCAGTCGATTTAAGAATGCATATAATCTTAATTTATTGCAAGCTCCAAATAAAATATATTTCCTGTCCAGAATCTAATCCTTTCCCAGAATATATGACCCACAGTTATATGTTGCAGGTTATTTCAGCCAGGAGCCTTTCCTCCTGGACCTTAATATAGGTGATGAGATCTTGCCACCAGAGTAATGAAAGATGTAAGCAGCCACCAGGTAACTACAATAGCAGGTTAAAGTTGACTCCATAAAAAAGAAAAGTATGGATGTGAGAGAGGTGTGGAAAGCTGTACTCTTACCTCTTTGGCTGCCACCCAGAGATTGTTCGCTATTTATTTATAATATAATATTTAACTTGGCTCAGCTTTGGACACCCTTTGAAGTCCCTGAGCGCCATTCTGCAGCTAACTTACTAAAGTGGTGAATGGATTTTCTGACATCCAGCATGGGGTGGCACTCCAGGGTCTGAAACATGCCAGGAATAGAGTAGCATTTTACAACAGATGGTCTCTGGATGGTAGTCATGGAGGTAAATGTGTGTTACAGGTTTACAATCACCTCCCAAAATCCACAGGCCTTGATGGAGTTTATTAAAATGTCACCTGTTGACTGACAGCCTTTCAGAACTCTTCTAATCTCAATGCTGTTTTGTAACTTTTTACTTTTCTAGTTAAGGGCACATTTACATCAGAATGCAATGCACACGTTTTTGGGCATTGACACACTCGTGGTTAAGCAGCCCATTCAGACGAAAGGGCTAAATCTCACCTCAATGCACAAGCAACCGGTGCAGCCTGCATTTTGTTCTCAGTGCAACACAAAGACACCATGGGGTGAGTTGTACTGAGTTGCAATGCAGTGCATTACAGAGCATGTGTGTTGTAAAGGTGCCTAAGGGTGTCATTCACAATGAATGGCACCATAGCTCACAGATGCACATTACCCTGACTTCACTACGTATTACTGCAATGTGATTGGTGTGAATTTTTTCCAAGGGAAATAGATAAGGCAGTATCTGTGTTTGTTTTTCCATGGGTGTGCATTTGTGTTTAGAATACTTTAAAGGGGCAAGCTTTGCACTGTGGCATCACCATATAACATTTCCCCAATAAATGGAAATTCGATTGGTTGCTATAGCTTACAGCACTTTCACAAAACAGTTGCTCTGACATTTATCGGGAAGGAATGGATTTGATTTACTAAAGACAAATAAGCTGTTCACTTTGCAAAGGAATTTGCTCTTTGTTTAGTGGAAGCGGTAAAGTTCTGTTGACCTCCATCTTCGAAATATGTGCAAGAAAAAATACTGTTTTTTTTTATTTTTTCCATGCATGAGATATGCTTTGCAAAGTGAATTAGTGAATTTTCACCACATTCACTTAGCTAAAGAAAAGTTATCTTGCAAAGTGAGCAGCCTTTCCCTGAAGTATCAACCAATTAAGTATCAATACAATTCAAGACAAGATGGTAAGGAGGGCCATATTAAATATACATATATAAAATGCATGTGTATATGCACAACATAAAAAAGATTTGAATCATACAGAAAATCACAGCTGAAAAAACTGACACCTTTGGTCGTTTTTTCTTTGCAGTGAGAGAGAAGCTTTTAAACACTAACAAAATGTCAGGACAAACTCAAGAATAAGATGTCAAATAGTCCATAAGTTGCATGAGCAGCGGGTCTGAGGCCGTTTCTACATATGAACAAAGCAGTGAACAGTGTTGTTTTGGAGAACAGATTCATATTTTTTTTTTTCGATTTAAAGAACAAGGGTTAAAAAATTTCCTAACCCTTACAGTGGGGCTACCCCCACACTACAAGGGTTAGGTGCTCATTTTTGCCCAGGTTATACCTGATCCTCTGAACTGGCCATCTGTGACAGCACTCTCTCCTCCTCTACTGCAACAATGAAATGTCCCTTGGCATCCTCACGTCCTATACACTGTGTATAGAACATGATGACTCAGTTACCTTAGACCAGTGCAGCAGAGGGGGATAGAGGCTCCAGAGATCAGTCTAAGAGCAAGCCATCTCCGAGGATCGGGTGAGTATAACTTTTTCTTTATGACCCTAGACAAAAATGAGCACTTAACCCTTGCAGTGTAGGGGTAGACCCACTGCAAGGATTGAAAACATTTTTACCCAGAGTTCTGCTTTAAGCATAGGAAATAGCAATATTTAACAAAAAAACAGGATGCCGTAAAAGTGTGAGATGGTGTTTTTTTTTTCAATTTTCTTTTAAATTTAGGGCCCTATGTGCTTTGTCCAGTTTAAATAAGCTACAAGCCCTTAGTGGAGTTCTTGAAAAATAAAGTTTTCCTTTATTTGTTTATTTTAAAATATTTATGTATTCATATTTATTACAACAGGATTGTGAAAAAAATTATAATTTTGACCATGTCTCATTTGTATTTTAGATTTATATTTTGAGCTTAGTGAAAAGTTTTATGGCCAAGATCGTATTGTGTCCTTTGCATGACTGTAAAGTCCTCTGAAGTTTTTCAGTATAAGTATTATTCCAGCATTTTGTTATCAGCATCAAGGATTTCCGATCTTTCAAAGGGTTCAACGTTAGGCCCTCTCGCGCTGACATCGTTGTCATCAGCTTCAGCCACATTATCAGGTGTACTATTAGTGTAATAAAATTCTTGTTCATTATTTTCCACATTTTCCTGTTCATGTATAAAACTAGCTTGATATTCACCTGCCTCATAATCAATATTGTCCCGCAGACTTTTGTTAAAGTTGTCTCGACAATTTGCATCCAAGCCTTCTTTGTAGTCTCGATTTTCTGACTCATCAAAGTTGCCATTGTTATCTTCATGGTCTTGCTCATTATCAGTAAGCTCATAATCAGTATTCCTTGTGTGCTCCATTAAGTGTTCTCTAATGGATGGCTCATTTACTGCCTCTGCAGCTTTATCAAACTGAAACTCAAGGAAACGGCTTCCCTCTGCCAAGTTTTCTTTCATTTCATTGCCATCTTCGTTTTCATCAGGTGCAAACGCCATCTGATGTCCATCTTTTACAGTTCCTTTGATGAACTTATCATCATTTTGATTTGATGCTAAATTGTTACCGGAAACTATGATCTCGCCAACTACATCCGTTGTGACGTTTTCTTGAAGTGATGCAGAGCCATTTGCTGTCTCCATTAGTAAACTGTCAGCAATTACAGCCTTTTCAGAAAAGCTTTCAATATCTGCAATTAAAAAAGAAGTTATAAGCAACTTAATGGAAACCGACATATGATGATTTACTTCGAATTTGTATCATTTCATGCTTTAAAAGTCACTAACATTGAAGAACAGCTCTAAGTAATAAGTAACATCAAATAGGAAACTGATAAATTATATTCTGGTTGTTTTTTTGCATGGCCTACAGTACAATTGAAGTGTGTGTGCATTGCCATGCTGGGAAAGCAGATGTATTATTGGCAGCATAACCAAGGGAATATAAAGAAACTAAAAAAACTAAAAATAAGGAACATCCCTATTCATTACTTTGCCATCATTTCCCTTTCCTAACTCCATGGCAGCATATGAATTGGTAGTGTCCATCCCCAGAATAGGCCATGGGGCAGATTCTTCAATAAATTCAACTGAGTAGCTCATTAACACAGTATTCTATGACTAGTGTACTCCTGGCACATGGCTTGGTCCATATGCTGTCAAAGAATTAGTCAGTATGGAAAATTATGTTAAGTATTGGATAGGATTTTTCCTTATTACTGACCACTCCATGGAAGCATATTTTAGTTTTTTCTAAAGTGTGTTGGAGTGAATGTAAAAATACAAGCAGTAGTTATTAAATTTCTTCAAATGCTTACACACCTGCAGTTTTTACCATGCAAGTGCACTATTGAACACCCATATCATAAGGTAAAAACGTTGGCAAGGAACTAACTAAACATGTTATTGTGGGCCCCATGCACTTGCATCTTCTGTCTCTTAATGATATCCAAATAGACAACTACTGGGCAGGATGGTCAGCAATAGCTCTTATGTGTGCCAAATGTGCAAAGAATATTAAACATTTGCTTTTTAGTGTAAATCATCTGTGTGTTGGCACACCAGAAAACTTATATGTAAATAATTATATTGAAAACTGTGATCAAAGCACAATCAATATGTATTATAATTTATCTGTGTCAGGAAACACACCAATGATGGTAACTGTGTGTACAGAACTAATTGTTTGCACTATGAAAGTCCATACAGATAGATATCATGTATAAACCATTAAGTAAAAAAAAAAGTATAAACATTGGAGGACAAGCACACCCGCCGGCACACTCTGAGCTGGAAATGCTTCAGCACTTATATCATTCATTTGATTTGGCTCATGTAGCAGCAGATTAGTGATGGAAAACTGGATTTATCTGCAGATAATCAAATAAGGATACAAAGGTTTATATCATCTTTGGTCTATTAAAACGGGGTCATGTCAAGGAAGACTAAAAAGGAAAAGCAGTCATGCCTGATGGTGCATAAAGCTGCCTAGAATGACTTATTATGTGTTGCAAAGGAAATCACATACTGAATAGTTTGCTTTGTAGCAGCAACCATTTGTTAAAGCACATTTATCATATTTATATTTACTTTTGGAGTTGATGTACAACACAATGCAACCACAAATCCTCAATAAAAACATGACCTGCCCACTGGCATTGCATCTGTACTGTTGCAAACTGAGAGATGTGTAGTATGGAAAACAATAACATTTCTTATATGCACTGAAGCGGTAAGACAAAAAGGTGATTGAAAATGAAAGATATAGTTTGCCTGCATCAGTCAATAAAAATAGTCAATAGAGTGCACAATTTTTGATATTTGTAAACAATTATTTCAGTGTTTAACAGTTTTTTAAAGGCTGGCAGTCCTAAAAGCCGATTGGTGCAGCATGTTCCGATAAGCATTGTGAGCAAATTAAACTTATTTCTGGGTCTCCCTTTTATCAATCTGAGCCAGCTCTAAGTACTTCAAGAAACTAGCAGCGTGTGTCTCTCACTTAATGGATGATGGAAAATGTCAACAGACCTTTATGGGTCTGGGATGTAGAAGTATCATAAGAGGATGCAGGCCATCTGGATTCTCATTTTAAAAGTGCATGGAATAGGCTTTCAAGGTAAAGAGCTAGCAAAACAATGTGCAAGACTTGTTTACACATTGCGCCTTACATACAGTATATTTACTCCTCTCTATAAGGGGCAAATTACTAAAAAACAGGAAAAATTCAGGGAAATGGGTGTTGGATTTGACAGCATTCTCTGGCCATTGACTGCCATTTGTTTTTAAGATATATGATGCTACAATTTGTGGAGAGGGTGAATGCCTGAATATACAACTAAGAATTTTAGGTAAAAAACACCTTTTGCAGTTTGTCATGTTTTCAGCAAATATGTAACACAATAAGCAAGTGACCTTCTATAGAAATCAATGGCAAACCATCCAAAAAAACAAGGATTCTCTATTTTAGAAACAATAATGTTTAAATGTGGTGCCTTAATGCACCTGGATATTCTATTAAAGGATAGAGAATCCAAATGTTAAATGAACCAGCAGTAAACGGTACTTAACCAGACAAATGCTTGGGCCAATGCATACAGGGAATGTGCCATAGGTCAGCCATGTTGTATATGTGGATTTGGAAAAATTACAAATGACAAATATTTTAGTCGAGGAAATGCAGTGCATGACTATTCACTGCTTTATAGATATACCCTTAATTTAAGCTCTCTTAAAATATCTTCAACTGACATCAAAATGTTAACTGGGTCATAAAAGAACATTACAAAAGTCAGCCGGGCCAGTTGTAATGAACTGTGTTGCCTATTAGGCAATACCTAATACAGTATGTGTTGGGCTTAGGTACATATACAAATTCTATAAAAACAGTGGGGCAAGATACCAGATTTTATATATAGCTACATCCCAAATATTGTATAGGCAACCAGAACTGTATCAAAGGGATTCTTTATTTCATAGCACCCAAAAAATGAATATACAACAAAATGAGAAAACACCAAGCATGTGATGTACTTGTTGAACACCTGAAGAAAGTGGAGTTCAGGATGAGGAGTGCAAGGAAATACTATGAAAGCAGGATGCTGTAACTTAGAGGGAGCTAACTGTTGGTTGCTGTTAGGATCCAGAGCGCCTCCAGGTGGCGCTGGAGCTAGCCCTGCAGTTCCAGTGCTCACCTGCGGGTGTCTCCCAGCATTTAGCCATCACCTGGTGCTTCCTGGGAGGGTATTTAAACCCTCCCTGCAGTCAGGACGATGGCTCAGTGTTGTTTCCTGTTTGTCCTGAACCCAGTATCCTGTTTTGAACCTTGTTACCTGTGAGTCCTGAATCCTGTTTTGAACCTAGTTACCTGCGAGTCCTGAATCCTGTTTTGAACCTAGTTACCTGTGAGTCCTGAATCCTGTTTTGAACCCAGTTACCTGTGAGTCCTGAATCCTGTTTTGAACCCTGTTACGTGTGAGTCCTGAACCCTGTTTGAAGTCCTGTTTTATGTGTCTTTTGTTTGCTGTCCTGAGCCTTGTTGTTGGTTGTTGCTATTAGTCTAAGGTGTATATTAAACAAACTATACATATCTAACATCCTTGCCTGGTCAGTGTACATACTTGCCTTGTCCGTGTGGTCACACGTGTTTGGTCTGCCTGTGTGCGTACCTGCGGAGGTGTGGGGTCACCTGTGCCAGTATCCCTGACAGTTGCTTTTGTGAAGATTGCTTTAAGCAGCTCAGATCTCTCTGAGAAACCGTATCAAGAACTTCTAGGAGCAGCTGCTAGCTGTCAAGCAAATAAACTGTGAACAATTTGGAGCAACATATGTAAAATCATCAAAGAGAGCAGGAACTGCAGAGAGAGTAGAGTACAAGTGGTATGCCATCAGTTCCATGAACTGTACTGCATTGCATGACAATTATGCATTCTGAACCTTCCAACTCTGTTGTTACTTTAGCTGTTACAGTTGATTTGCAGTAGTAAGCATGCTTTTGAAACTCCTATATTAGTGCCACTGCCTTAAAAAAAATTAGAATGACTTTGGGTCAGTGTTATTCTATTCTATTTTTATATTATAAAATCATGTCTATGTTTCATGTCTACATCTGGTTTAAACTTTGTATATAAAATCTTTGTTTTTCAAATAAATTCACTCATAGCACAAGATTCACCGACCATTTTGGGTTTCCTAAAGTAAGAGCTCTGACTTATTCTGTTTTGTGTGTTAATTTCAGCTTAAACTACAGAGTACTGTAAACAACTTGTTTTCTTAATTATAGTGATGCGCAAACTGTTGGTGCTGTATAAATCCTGTAAAATAATAATAATATAATAACAGAAGCAGAGGAGAACCTAGAAAATGGGAAGAGGAGGTGAGAGCTCCACCTTTTGGCTGGATATGAAAATATAAACTATCCACATGTGAAGATTTAATAAATATTATATAACGAAAAATAGTTTTTAACATTCTATTTTTATAGTCTTACCTTAATAAAGAAACAAAATATGTACAAAACTATTGTATATAATTACTAATGGCAACAGCTGTGTGAGAAGGGGGCATGGAAAATTGTAAACAAAGGTACTCATGTTTTGGCATCTGCCTCCTTATCATCCATGCTAGAAATTACATCTGGCACAGTCACTGAGACTGATCCTATAATGTCAATTACATTTAACCTCAATATATAAATATATAGAAGCCTTACTCGTAAAAATTACCTTAATATTAAATGTAAACATGGCTGCTTTTAACTTAGGGCATGTGATCATTAAATTACAATTTGTAATATCTAATAGTAGTCAAATTCAACTGGACTTGTTCTGTAATGTTGAAGGCATTTTGTTGCTTATCTAAACCACTTCTTTAGTTCTATTAAGTGTCAGGAACATGTCCCAGCATTTATATCCACACACGTAGCATAGACAATCACCCTGCCCCTGTTCAACGATGTTTTACACAACATCTTATAGAACAAGTCCAGTTAAATGTGACTAACTACTACTTGCTATAGCATGACCTGGATAAATGAGAACATGCACATATACTTAGTAATGTAAATCACATTTCCCTTTCATTTGCTCTTCTTCCAGGTCTTGCCAGTTTATTAAAACTGAACATTTATGATCTTGATGTGTTGTATATACTATGCTAGCATGAATGTGCCAGGTCAGACCTTTCATTATTTTGTATGGTAGAGTTTTACCAGTAGTTCACTGGTTTATTATATTTTAGAGAACTATTCTTCTGTACTATTTTATCAAAAATCCCTGAGAAATTTGCAAAATAACTCATGATAAAAATATTTGCACTTCATTTTTGATAGCAGGTTAAAAGATTTCAATTTTTGTCTATATAGACAGCTAATACATAGAATTGCCATATATTGTATTATTGTATAGATACCATTGTTCGCAGCTAACTCATGACCATGCTCCTGCACTAAGAAGGAATCTTTACTTCTGCTTTGTCTGTTGAAAATTCTGAAGTGTGATGGTTTATCCATGCCTGTCTGTGAGCTGGAATACAGAAAGCAAAGGTGACTCAAGGGAACTTTTCAAACATACAGCATATAGAGGCATACGCAAACCCAATAAAGAACCAACACATTTATAAACTATAGCTCACATCTTCACTGAAGACTGTCATAAAAATTAGCAACAGTGAACAATACATTGGCTTGTGCCTCCCAATCTGTTAATATAAGTAAAATAACTAGACAATTGCTTACCAGAGCAATGCTAATGCAATTAGTTTGACTTAAAGTTTAAGTACAATATATACATTTGTGTACAGATTATTAGCTTTAACTATCCCATTTGGGTCTGAGCAGTTTTATGTGCATAGTAGGCACATTCAGTGGTACAGTACCATTGGCTCTGGCTATGTATCACCCCTATTCAGCTTCAAACCATTGTACTTATTCACAATCACAAAAAGATGAGAACAAAGGTTTTGACAATTGTAGCATGGAGGTGCTTGTCACCCAAATATGCATATTGTTACATAAAACTAGAATAAATACTTGAAGCTATGCTAACATCAGCCTGCAGAGACTTGGAGATGGAGGGGCAGCACTCTGTCAGCACAGTGCTGGCAATCTAATCCTATGAACATACTTTCAGGTTGTTCAGTCACAGGTTGGGGTTGGCCCTGTATCAGGCTGTAAGTCTTAGAGTAAACCTATACTGAGAGAAATATTCAGGCTCTCATTGCCAACCTCTTCTGGACAGCCATAACTCCCAACTGTTCCTTGTTTCAAAGGACTGTCCCTCTTTGGAACAAAATCTTCCCTGTTCCTCGTTCCTCCTAAGTTGTCCACCATTGTGATGTATTGAACCCTATTTATATGTGCTATTTACCTACCTAATACTACACTCAGAATGTCATTCAACATCTAAATTATTGCATTTCGTATAAAAAAAAAGAAGAATTGGGGAAAAAATAATGTGTGGGTTTAAGCAATCATTTTCAGCATATTATTTGGGGCTGCATAGTTGGGGACATGTAGGTGAGTGTCCATTTCATGCAAATCTGTCCTTTTTCATCTCGGAAAGTTAGAGGACAGCTATATGTCGCTTCAGTAGTTGAGTCACTAACCCAATGGGAGTACAGATATCAAGACTTCTGACTTTGTTTATAGCATGCTTGTTCCAGCAAAGTTACTAAGAAGTTCTGGTGCAAGAGACAGCCAGACAACTTGTATTTTCATAAGGAATTGAGAAATTTAAATCTCTGTATTTCTCTCAGTACAGGTTTCCTTTCATAGCAACATAGCCTGCAGAGAGGTCCAGCACCTGTCTGAGCTGTGTGGCAGAATTGTCTGGATCAGTAGCCTGGCTGAAAAAAAATAAAATTTTGTAGGCTGGGCAGGTGCATTTAGCTGTTTGCCTGAAGGTAAGAACTGACAGACAGTCATCTATGAGCTTGTAGCAAGTACAAACACAACAAAATAGGCATATAGCCTGGTTGAGGTTTTTAGGTTTGCTCAGCTCAGGTTTGCTTAGGTAATGTTCAGCAGAGGAAGGCCATGAAACCACACCCCATAGCGATAAAGAACAAACACAATAAAACAGGCATATAGACTATATGTCTGTTTTGTTGTGTTTGTACTTTATCGCTATGGGGTGTGGTTTCATGGCCTTCCTCTGCTGAACATTACCTTATTCTGCCAGTAACACATTTTGTGTGCATGCATGGCAATGCACACCTTTGTATCTACAATACCCACACTTTTTACAGTACCGCTAAAATACCCTCACTTATTACAATACAGCTATAATAACCCAAGTTATTTCAATACCGCTACAATACTCCCAATTATTACAGTACTGCTAAGGGCAATTATTATTGTACTGCTACAATACCCCCAATTAGTACAGTACTGCTACAACACACACAATTATTACAGTATCCCTACTAGCAATTATTACAGTAACGCTACCATGTCCACATTTATTACAGTAACGCTACAATAACCTCAATTATTACAGTACCACTACTGGCAATTATTACAGCACCGCTACAATACCCACAATTGTTACAGTACAGCTACAATACCCACAAGTTTCAGAATCATTTATAAATCTTTCAATGTGTTTCCCACAGGTGCACTGCAAGTCCTGCTGCAGCAGAGAATAGATTAACAACTTTATCAAACAACACTTTTACCCATTATATCTATTTTATAGGGATGCAACTCTCTTGTCCTTATCGTTACAAAGAAATCTATTCTGACAAAGAGACAGGAAATCAAAGCACTTGTAAAATGTTATCTTGCAAACACAAGAATGTTCCATTAAGTGACATGAAGAAAATCATAAAAATTTTCTTTTATGTACTGCAGTGCACATCAAATAATGTTCTGCTAAGTAGATCAAGGTGCCCTTGGATATGTTTTCTTAAATGGATATGAAAGGATATATATTTCTTGTAAGTAGAATATATTTTCCTTCAGATGCACAGTAAAACATAGTGGCATTGTACTTTAAAATTCTGTTTATTAATACAAATAGCTGTTTAATAATACAATCAGTTGGAAAATAAATACAGAATTCAAAGCCCAACATGCCAGGCTGTGATGTCCTTATTACTCCCCTTCTTTGTTCTAAGGAGATAAATGATAAAAATTGCAGAGGCTGCATGATTGATGTACTACACTATCCAGTGAGTCTCACTTTAACTCATTCCGAAGGTCTACATATCTTATTCTTGTATTTGAGGAGACCTTTATTGACATTAAACTGGGGGTCTTCTCCGACATGACTTATGGCAATTGGAAGTCTCCATTCACACAAGTCATGCATTTGGATTCAGACGAACATGCAAATCAACGAAATAACAATATGCCTGAATATACGAAAAACCATATTTGAGCATATATTAATTAGTTGACAGAAATGCACATTCTGCGCATGCATACGCCCATACATGCGTATGATGTCTCCCGACACCACGCAAACGCGGCCTTATGCGCTCCTACTCCAAGATGGTGGTGTGCATGCACAGAATTTGCCGATGGCCGCCGCACATTCTGCTGTTGCCTCTGAATCCAAAAGAGCATAATTATTAATTGTGTCAAATGAAACGAATGAAAATGTTTTTATTTTTCAATCGTTTCATCTGAAACAATGTCTAATGGTAACTGAATGTTTTATCACACACAAATCATGGCAACTGAAAGTCTCCACATGCATGACTGTGAGCAACTGGAAGTTTCTTACCACAACACCTATGGATGCTGTATTTTCCTCACACACAAATCATGGCAAATTGAAGTCTCTTCACACATAACTGATGACAACAGGGAGTTTCCTCACACATCACTCATGGAAACTAAAGCTCGCCATACACTGTCAAATTTTCTTTAGTCAACCTGTGGACTGAATTAAGAAAATATTACAGATTCCTCCAATGCTTACAAGCGTTGATCGAGGAATCTCCCTCTGTTTTCACTGTATTCTGACAGTGGCTGGTGGCCGCTGTCAAAATACCCCAACAGAGCCGGCAGCTCATTGGCTGCCCACTCTGTTCATTGGAAGATTTTCTGACCGGCTCCTTCGATCAGCTGATCGAGGGATGCTGGCTGAAAGGGTGTCAACAGGGGCACCCACTGTGAGAATTCCGAATAGTGTATGGCCAGCTTTAGGGCCTGTTCACACCATATGCCACGTTCTGGCCAGAACGCACTGCATCGTATTTTGGCCGGGTCAGTATTTCGTGGGGCCGCAATGCGATCCCCCGCACGGGATCGCAAGGCACATAGTGCCTGCGGTCCACTGCGGTGTGGTGCGATCAAAATAGTGCTTGTAGCATTTTGATCGCACCGGACTGCAGACACAATGTGACTTGCGATCCCGTGCGGGCGATCGCATTGCGGCCGGAGGGCGTGGCTACGTTGCCATTCACTTTAATAGCCAGCCACGCCCCCTCCAGCCCCATGAAACACTGAGCCAGCCACAATGCGATGCTGTGTGTTCCGGCCAGAACGTGACCGGAATGCACTGCATATGGTGTGAACAGGCCCATGGTCTCTACACACAACTTGTGGCAACTGAAGGTCTCCTCATACTCAAGATAGACATGCTGGTATCCCCATATGCAATAATGTCATCACAGGAACAGCATAATTATGTAAATAATGAAGACAACATTTGATCCTGGCTGAACCACAGATGTTATCTAGAACAATTTGCACCCATTGTATGATGTAGATGTAGAGACCATACAATAAATACTGCTTACATAAAGGAGCTAAACTGTTTAAAATATTAAAACACAACCAAAAAAGGTACTTAGACGTAGGGATGAGATCAGGTTCAGATCAGGATCAGTCCACACCTGAGCTCATCCCTACAATAAGACTTACAAATAAACTACACTATGCTCTAACATAATATAGTACCCACTGCTTAATAAACAGTAGACTTACTATGATATGTGGATTGCTGCATAAAAAAATTACAGGTTAACACAGCTATGCCTTTACATGTCTTCCTAGTAAATTAATACATCTGTTGCACTTCTTATGTAGGAGAATTACTTGATTAACCTAAGAGTTTGGAGATAGTAGACAACATTGCTGAGTAATGACTTACTTTAAAAATGGAAAGCTTCTTGGGGTTTTCTCTGCCACATGCAAGAATGCCCCCGATGTGTTAAAGCCAATTTCTGGATTTAAGATAATAGCCACTTTCTTCAGCTGCCACTGTGTTATAGGTTTTGTGCCCAAGAGAGGGAGTCTCATCACACAGCTCTGCAAATAACAGGATAAAACAAAATGTATAAAACTCTCAACCTTTTTCATTGCTAGAAGGAATGTTAATGTATATTTATAATTAATGTTTTGCTACAACAACATATATGCAGAGCACCATAGCATAACAATGAAATAATTATTTGTAAAAAATATACTGGTTCACTTAAAATGTTTTCTTTACGTATTAGTATATTTCCCTTGCCCAGGTAAAATGTCTTTTGACAGATAATTATGTATTCTGCTAAATACACATCCCTGATGTAGATGTGCATTTTTGTTTTCCTTTACTACTTGAAAAATGGCCAGATTTGTTTTTAAAAAGGTTAATCTCAAACTAACTATGATAGACAGTTCTATATTTAGTACAAAAACAGAAAACTTTGGGGCATATTTATAGAGCAGTGAATGTGCCTTTCATCAAACATTCAGCGGTAGTGAATCAATCATTGTCATTTAAAACACATAAACCTAGAAGATTCAGCTGCAGTAAATAATTGGTGAATGACAGATCCACTGCTTTATAAAGTTGCCCCTTAGATGGTCGATCTAATGTTGACAATGTAATTATTCTGACTGTTGCTTACCTTTAAACAAATCAAACATAAAATACAGACCACAGCTTTGCAATTGATGCAAAAAATCATTTAAATTCCTTTAAAATATTATTTGTCGTAAGACACTTATATGGCCTATTTACCACTGCTGAAATGTACATAAGCTCAGTTTAGCATTTCTCTTATTTCGCAGAACTGCTCATTTCTTTTCTCAGAACAATATTTCCCAAAGGGTTATGTTTGTGCTGCTTGGGGCACTAAAGGCCTAAAGGCAGTTGTTGCATGATTGAACATTATCCCTTTACAGGGCTGAACATAATCTCTCTGGAAGGCTATGATTACTTTAGATTCAAACCACAAACTTCTGTTCTTATTTGCTGCATGTAAGGAAAACAAAATCTATATATAAGGTAATGCTAAACCACATAACAATACATTGGCGTTAAATGTTCTTGCCTAGAATTACGTGGGAGGTATACATTCAGAATGTAATCCATTGGTTAGCACTGGTCAATATTTCTTAACTAGTCTGATTTTTTTTAATCATGTATTCAAATTATTTTATATACCAAGAGTCTATCACTATGAAACAGGTTTGCAATACACTATTCTCCATTTAAATCTGGCCATCAATGGCTCAATTCCCCCCAGACAGGCTAAACAATGTGAATGAAGGAAACTCCACTTTTAAATGTTGTATTCAGGTAGTCTGTTGAGCCAAGTGGTGCCAAGGGTCAACCACGGCTCAAATTTCATCCAATGTTTAATACAATTCAAGGCATGTATGAAGAGCCAAAGAATCTTACTTTAGGGTTTCAGGTTATACAAAATAGTCTGCAGGTATTAAGGCCAATTAAACCTCAAAAGCTAAACTTACATTAATTAATCCCTATTTTGTCCACACACCTCACCCTGTGCCAGAAACAACCTTCATTCAAAAGCAGAACACACTTATCCACCAGCTCCCCCAACAAAAACTATACATACAGCAATATATACACTGAGTGGCCAGATTATTATGACCACCCCATCAGTACTTCGTTGGGCCACGAGATAACTCCACGAGATGACTTTGTTGGGCCGCCTCGTGACTCCACGAGATGTTGAAAGGTGATGCGAGGAATCTGACACTGCACTGTTGCCCTTCTGTTGTCTTGTACCAGTCTTGCCACTCTCCATTCTGCCCTAGTCGCTGATAATTCACACGTTCAGACCCAGATTTGCGGCTGATATATTTGCAGCGGTGGCTGATGAAGTAAGGTGGTAGTAGTAGACCAGAGAAGAAAGGCAACTGCTGAAAAGGGCATATGGCTGTGTAACTAGCAAACAGCTAAATACACAAGTCAAATATAATACAATACATAAACAGGAGCTGTTTTACCTGCCAAAGGGATTTTTAATTCATTCCATCCAGTCATGAGATTTACACAACTCTGTCACACAGCAAAGTCCTGCAAGGCAGAGGGGCTGAGCTGATCTTTTTCTGCTGCAGTTTTACTTTCGCTTACAGGTCTCCTCTCAAACCCCCACCCTGTGACCGGATGGTGAAAGAAAAAGCATGAGTCTGATTAGCTCATATCTCGGTCACTCTGCTCTCTCTTCCTATTAGCATGCTTCTAATAGGACACAACACACCTGACTTCTCCCTCAAAATCAATATTTTACTTGTGGGAAGACCTTGAAGAACTGAATCTGGTTACTATTGCACAAGCCATATCCTCCTTCATTTGTGTCACACACACACACACTCCCAGAATCCAGTGGGCAGGACTAGGTGTAGCCAGGGGCTGATTGACAATCTACAGGCTTGTGACTCAGCAGTGAGTGTACTGATAGCCATGTCCCCTGCAAGATCTTCTCACCCTACTGTAGTGCGAACATGAACAGCCTACATGAGAGTGGTAACTTTGCTCTGAATTCGGGAGCAGTACAGCGTCTGTGCCAAACAATCACAGGAAGCTGCATTAGGTTGGCTTTACTGGCAGGATCAACAGGAATTTGTGGGAAATGAGAGAAAACTGTAAGAAATATTAATTAAGTTCTGAATCACTTTTTTTTTGTTTTAATGGAGCAATCAATCAGAGGTTAGCTTTTATTTTTTTAAACTATGTCCCCAAAAAAAAAAGCTGAAATCGAAAAGGTGGTTTCACACAATATTTTCTCTCTGCGTTCCATTCATTTTTACAGCTCAGCCACAATGACTGTGCCAGTGATTTAAAATATTGATTCCAAATTTGTTCATTGTGTATGCTGTCAAACACTGGCTTCATTATTTCTCCTGCTAAAACATTTGGAATCACAACATTGATTGTTCAGTAAAAAAAAACAATAATGTGCTTTTTATTAAGTCAATCTCTTAACCTTGCATGAAATAACTTCTCTTGGCTAATGAGCATGGTAAATTACCTTGTTCAAAGTGATAGTCAAGGCGTAATGGTCGATCCGTATTTACAAGTAAGCACTTTATTTACACATGAAATACTGCTCTTTTCCATATTTTCCCCAAATGCATAATTACTTATAAATGTGTACTAACATAAGCATTATCTTTGGTAATACATTCACTACTTCTGCTTGTTTGCTGATAGAGAAGCTAACAGATGGGTATTTTAGCAGAACGGTGACTGATGTGGAAAAGATTACACAGTTCTGCCGTCCCAGATATTTCTAGGCATGATATGGAAAAGCTCAAAGAAAAAGAACAGACTGATAGGCTGAGCTCCAGGCAGCAGAATAGGACAAAAAAAAGAATTCTTATGAATAAAATCGAAAAAATAATTTCAACTGCAATTAACTGTTTTCTAAAAATGAAAATATAAACATGTAGAGTTTGAATACACATGTAAGCCGGCAAAAAAAATTGTTTCGTTTCGTTTTATTTCAGATGTTTCGTTATTTTTTTTTGTGGGACTCGGGTCTGAAAGTCAATTCGTTTAGGCAATCGGATTTGGATGAATCTGAATTCGTTAATTTCAGATGAGTTAAATGATCATTACGAACTAAAATTTGTTGCAGAAAAGTGACATTACATGTTTACTTTGTTTTTTACATTTCTGACACATCAAACGAAAAAAAACAAAAAAAAAACGTTCGGTTCCCCAGCAATGAATACCAGACCCTTTACGTCTGGTAGGCATTTTATGGGGATCCCCAAGGCCCCCCCCCAAAAAAAACTGGGGTTCCCCTAAAGTCCCTTACCAGACCCTTAATCCAGGCAGCAGCCTGGCAGGGCAGGAAAGGGGGGACAAGCGAGCACCCCCTCTCTCCCTCCACCATACCAGACCACATGTCCTCAGTATTGGAAGGGTGCTTTTCCAGGGTCCTGACCAAAGCACTCTCTCTGCATAGAGTTTGCATGTTCTTCCTGTTATTCCATGCATCTTATCCGGGTACTCCAGTTTACTTCACACTCCAAAGACATGCTGGTAGTTTAATTGGCCGTTGTCTAAACTGTCCCTAGTAGGTGTGAGGGCTTAAAAGTCCCAAACGCAGCCTCCCAAAGAAAACACTCAGCTGGAACCAAAGAATAACAAAATTAGAAGTGCACCAAAGATTGCAATGTGGTCATGGTAGTATGTTTTGCATGAGTAACTTGCTGGTCACTAATGCCACCATGCAATAAAAGGACAAAGTGCAGATCTTACAAATTTGTCAGCCCTTTTCTCATTAAGAAGAATTACCACAAAATGAAGTTCACATCCCTGGTTAAACAACCTCACATCTTAGGGCATATAATTATTTCTTGCAATGTGTTACAGTTCCCTTTTGGCTTTAGAGTCTCCTGTGATTTCCTCAGTATCACTCTATAAACGCAGCTGCTCAGCAACATCTAATCTTGTTACAGAAAGATTCAAGAAAGTATTCCAATATGCATGGACAGTTAAAGTCTCATATGGAAAGGGATCCTAATTAAGATGCTAACTTTAACACATCTAATTAGATTACTGTTAATTTATATTTCATAATAAATATTAAATCAATGTACTGTTTTCCAGTTCAGTTCTTGCCAGCAGCTTTTAATATATATGCGTATTGATACGGCTTATTTCTGCCTACCAGATGTTCAGTGTGTGAATGGTTTTCTTAATGCACTATTCTTGTTTTCCAATACTGTTCATTGTTTGAGAGCATCTGGTTGTTAACTTGTTGTTAACAAGTTTATTAAGAACATTTGTCACTTTCCTTGTAGAAGAGTTAGAATTCATTAGTTAGTTGTCTCATTTGCCAACTCATGAAACTGATAAAAGCTGTTTAGATGTCTAGTTTACAATGGTACTGTACAGATTTGGGACATTACCAAATAAGGAGACTTGGACATTATCAAAGTATATCTGTACTGTAAAAAAAATTAATTTAGGAAATACAGAACCTTTGGTATGAAAGTTCTATCTGGGCAGAAAATACCTATTGATATACAGTGTCAAAACAAAACTTAATTCATGTTAGAAATGGTTGTATTACCAAATCTCGGGGTCAGTTATTTAATGGCTCAAGACTGTTGACTTAGTAAAGTGACTGTTCATTGAGCTCCGCAGATAAGGTGAATCTGCGTTCACCTCAATCAACCAATCATGTAATGGAAAACTTTTTTTTTTGCTATTTTTCCTTGCACATGATTGGCTATTCAAAGGCAACAGAGCTTCGCCTTATTTACTAGGAAACAAATACTAAGAGGGTTATTCATAAAAGAGCTGAAGGATCCAGCCGTAGCTTCAGTGGAACCGAAGGGCTGCTGTACAGGCTATTCACAATAGAGCGCACAGCAGCCGAAGGCAGCTGAGCGTCTCAGCTGAGCTGAAAGCATATGCTTCGGCTCGACTGAGACATAGTGATCCCCGAAGTGGGGAGAAAGGCCGGCCGGCCGAAGCCGACTGTTTGCCCCACAAAAGACAACAGCTTGGCGGAGCCAGCCGTAATGTTACAGCTGGCCCCGCCCAGTTGTTGTCCTTCAATGACAGCCCAGCGTCCTCAAGGACACCGGGCTGTCATTACATGTAAAAAGCTGTCTATTGATTTATCCGGGACCTGTCAGGTGTCGGACAAAAGTAAACAGTTGGGCGGAGATAGCGGGGATGTCACTGCTAGCTCTGGCCAATTGTTTATATTTTGCCAGCATCTGTCAGAATGCCATTCTGCGGTGGGAGTTTGTTCCGGGCGGACGGGTGGGGGGGTGGAGTTTTTAATTTTATTTTGTCAAGTTGCCGTCATCGTGGGCAATGCTGGACATGGTGATTGACCTTAGGATTACGTCGGTGGATCAATTTTTTTTAAATAAATGACTTGTCAATAACGTGTCTTTTGTTTTTTTCAATTAAATTATTTTTTCTAAAATCTGGTCTGTATAAGTACCCCATACTCATTCACAAGGGGGGGTGCAACTGGGTGCCCCTTTATTAAAGGGGTACCCTGATGTGAATACGTCTCCCTGTCTGCACCCCCACAACCAACGCCCCAGGGCTTGTGGGAAAGAGGCCCTTGTCTCCATCGGCATGGGGACAAAGTGCTTTTCCATGGGCAACCGGGGGGGTGCTTGCTCGTTCCCCGTTCCTACCCTGCCAGGCCTGTGCTTGGATCAAGGGTCTGGTTGTTAATTTTAGGGGGGACCCCCATGTCTTTTTTTCCCCATTTTTGGGGGTGGAGTTCCTCCTTAAAATTCCTAACAGACCTTAAGGGCCTGGTATGACTTTATGGGGGGAACCCCACGCTTTCTTTTTCTTTTATGGGGTCCCTCCTAACTTTCCTACCAGACCCCACGCTGTTTTTTTTTTTCTTTCCTTTAAAATCCTTATTATTTATTACATTTACTTAAATTATTTTTATTTTTGTTTACATTTTTTTTCTATTCTGCTTGCTACCTTGGAGGTAGTGAGCAGAATAGCTGAGCCGAATGGCGCTCGGCGGCATTCAGCTATTCACTCACTGCTGTTTGGCCCCTATTAGAATAGGGGCAGAGTGCAGCAAGTGAGCCCTTTGGCTGAGTCGGACTCCTTCTCTACTTCGGCTCAGCCTTACAGGGCTGAAGTAAATAGCCGAACGTAGTTGGGCTCTGTTCAATTCGGCTGGGTTATTCAATCGGCTGCCTCTGGCAGCTTTGTAAATAACCCCCTAAGTAAACGTATACTTTATAAAGAGAAGTTTGATTTTTCTAAGTGAGCAACCCCTTATTCTAGACATCAACCATGGGCTGTCATAGAGAAGTGATACGGCTATGCATATTTGATCTATTTGACAATGTAGGATCAGATTATCATGATAACAAACAGCACGCATTCTAGCTCATATGTGGGTCTCATTTTATCTTCTTAGAAGTGATTGCCTAGCTCTCCTCATCTATAGGTATTTGTACCTCTTAAAGCTGAAATCCAGGCACAAAAGCTCTCATTTAAAGATATTTCTTAATAGCCAAAAATTATATAAAACCACTTTGTGTGCACCAAATGCATTTGCAAATGTAATAATGGCATAATCGCTGTGTTGCACATAGCCTGTGCAGAGAGCAGAGCTGTGGGAGGGGCCCATCAGACTGCATATAGAAAACTAAAGGAGGGGGCGGATACAAGACTAGTCACCCTGCACAAGGAGAAAGAGCAGCAGTGATTGGTCTTGATTACAGGAAGCTTTTACAAAAAGGAAATGTTTCACACCTAATCACTGCACAGATGTAAAAAAAATACACAAAGCACACCAGGATTCAAGTAAGAATACACATGCCTCCTGACAAGATGTGCTTATCGTGGAATTCAAATTTAAGTACTCAGTTCAATTACATAGAGCAGGACAGCTACATTAGGTATTAAAATATTTCTTTTTTAGTTTCTTCTCGGTGACAGAAATATGTTGTAGTGCATATTTCTGCATTAAGATGGTTTGCTTATATATACCTATTTTTTCCAATTAGCAGAGATTTATGACCAGATCCATGGCTATCCATACAAGACCTTGGCTTTCCAGATCCATTCGGGTTAAAAAAAAGAATACATTTTATAGGATTCACTCATCATTACAAAGCCTGATTACACTTTGAAATGAAAAAGACTCAGAGCACTCTGAAATGAAGAAAATTTCAAGATGCAAATGAAAGCATGCATTCAGAGGCAATCAACTTACCTGCATTGTGTAGTCCATGAACACTGGACACTGATAGAAATCAGTCCCATCTGCAGGTTGTCTGACGTTGCCAAGAAGGGTAGGAAATATAACAACATATGGTAATAGATTAAATGTGTCCCTGTGAGAAATAATAATAATAATAAATGAATAATAATAATAATTATAATTAGAACACTATAATATTGCGATGGTCAGAGTTTCATATTTTATATAAGTATCTGTTAAAATATATTGCTAGAAAATTGTAAAAACACTTTTGCTGAACTCCACAAAACTTCAGTTAGGCTTTTACACGTATCAAATGAAATTTGTATATGAAAGGGTAATTTTGTTTGAGAGTACATGTCTGTCTCCACATGCTAACTCTGAAAGTCAACATTTTAGAAAATCAGTACCTGGATTCTACCAAGTAATTTTTTTGGAAATCCCACTCTGCACCCAGTAAGACGAGACCCTTGAGATAAAGTGGATAGACCTCACTGTCTAGTTTGAAGTCTGGATATTCTTTTATATGGCATTGGAGTACCACCTGCAGGCAAAACAAATAAAGTGAATTAATTTATTATAAAATACATTGTACATCTATACATTGCAGAAGACATACATTGTTATATTTATAACTAAATTAGCATTAGATTTGAAAAAAAGCAGTACTATATGCATGACACCTCCATATGAAATGAAATCATATGAAATGAATCAAAATGAAATCCAAAAAAATAGATATTAAAATAGACACATTTTAAGATTAGACATGCCTTACTGTAGTGAAAATCAATTGTAAAAATTTAACCTTAGAGATCTATTTCACAAAAGGGCACAAGTTCAATTCTGTGCAAATTCCAGTTTTGGGCCATGGGGGAAAAGATTATCTTGCAAAGGCAGATTATTTTAACTGTTAAAAAATGCCATATTTAATAAAATGTATTTTTTTGTGTACCATTAGTTTTAAGAAAAGCATTGAGTATTTAAAATTCCATTACTGATTTTGCCATTAATATGCAATGAAGAAGGGATTCCAACTGTAATAACCCATTCTGATTCTTATACTAAACTGTCTTTCCCCACACAAATAATATCCATTTGTTCTTAGTGTAGCCCTTGGAATAAAAAGATCCATCTTCAAATATATGATCCTTAGCTATATTTATATTTAAAATGTGATCTTTAAAGTGATTTGTCCATCAGCCTACTCTTACCTCCACTTCACTCCCCACTGGGCAAATAGGAAAGAAGAAACTTGGAGTGTAGCAGCTTGGAGTTTGAGGACAATCTCATCAACAAGAACTAACACTGTCATGTGGGAGGAAAGGAATTCAGTCAAAAGTCCCCCATATAATCAAACTTGGGAGTGCAGGCAAGGTAACTTATTGTGGCCTCCGTTACAGAGAACATGTTTCTTTTCCCTTTGTGGACAATAAACAAATAAAACAATTTACAGTGCAATCATCATGCAAAACCTTATATGTTCATATAGAAAATGTAAATAAATAACACTTTGAACTACAAAGAGGATCAAAACAGCAATATCTGCTGACCCAAAAAAATGGGGTGGTTGACTTAAATAATTATTATTACTATGGAGAATAATTACATCACATAATTTGCTGCCTTATAAGAATATCAACTATAGTTAACAAAAGAAAAATGAAAAGCATACCTCATGCAATAAATATCCATGATTAACTGCAAACTCAGTTCTCAGTGCCAACAACAAGGCCTCTGGGTTAACCAGAAATCCAACGCTTATGGAAGTCAAGGCTTCCTTTTCACTCTTGGCAAACGGCATTAGACCTTTTCTCACCCACTGATTGAGCTGTTTGTGTTTCTTTTGCAGACCTAGGTGAAGTAAAATAGACAGACAACGTATGTGTCAAGCGCTATGGAGTCATGACAATATAACTTTATGTGCTGTAGTTGCAACACAAGAAGGATTTATTGGTACATTAAAGTTCTTAGGCAGCGACAAGAAGATCTTAAAATGGACACCAGACAGCTTTTTTACCATTCAGTGTTCTTAGTGAGACATTCTTACTAAGTGCTTTTTTCAGCCAACTTTAGCAACATGCTCAAATAGGTGAGAAGCTAAGTAACCTCAATGCACAGCAGCTTTGTTGACTTATTGGCACAAGAATTCACCATGTCTAATGTAGCAGGATACTCAGCCAAGCTAACAGTTTGACATGTAGATGGCCCACCATCTGTTTGTTTCAGTTCTTGTCCAGAAATTGGACCAAATATGACAGAATTGAAAACCTTATTTCGATATTTCATTATTTTGATATAAAAAGGCAACAAATACCTGAAGACTGAAGTGGTGACTAAACTGCTAATAGAAAATATTTTCTTCTAATTTATGATAATCTGTTCTTGGCCTCATTTTTAAAATTTGTAACTTCTGCTATTCCCTATTTTAGAGAATTTGCAGCAGTTACCCAGGACAGATGGTTCTATATCTTTCTCATATCAAAGACCACATTGCCTATTAGTGTAACTGGATAGTGAATGGAGCTCTAACATGTCTGTTTCCATGTTCGACTTTAGCACAGAAACAAAACTAAACGGCACTCTGTGGTAGGATTAGTCAGTGTAAAAAAACTGCTGCAATCATATTATTCAGAATAAACAGTGTTCTCATTTTATGCACAAGCTACATTAATAAACAGAATAATTTGCACACAGTAGTCAAAGAACCTAAACACACTTGTGATGGGTTAACAGTGTCACCAAGGACTGGGTTTCAATCATATGCCATCATAGGCCCTTATTACTGTGCCTCCTAGAGGGCTGGAGATCAATGCAACCACACAGTTTAATGCATCACTAATAAATAAATAAATTGAAATAAATAAAATATTTATGTGATAAATGATTTACCATTTTGTGCTAGTTGGACATGTGGTGACAAGGAACAGGGCAATCTATCACTAGAACCAGCTATACCAAAGTTGGATATCAGAGAAAGTAGCAGTGCAAGAAGCCAATCATTTCATGCAGTGACAAAAAAAATCCCAGAGAAAGCAGAATGACAGAGTTAAGCTCATCACTGTGCTTCTTCTCCTTTCACTGTTCAGTCACAGGCTGGGGCAAGTCCAGGATGACTTGGACCCAAGGGAAGTGGGTTTAATGAAATTATGCTGACCATCAGAGTACATCAGGATTGACGGTGAATATTGCAGCTTTGCTGCTTTTGTTATTTTATCTTTTAATGGGCTCTTTATTTTTATCTTATATTTAGTAAGGTAATAAAATAATTGGTCACCATGAGGCCATGTAGGTAAGAGCTGGCCATTTGAGTCAGAGTTTACAAAGCTTCCTGACCCAATATGAAAGTCTGTGATAAACTACATGCCACTGCACCATGTCAAATAATATTCCTCATTATCAACTACATATCAGTTGTCAAACTGTTTTATTAGTGGTGAATGTAATTAGTTACCAACATTGTTTCGGGAATGTGTCTTTCTGTTTTATCTTTGTGCGTATTAGTGGTTGCCAAAAATAACGACATGGTCTGTCTTTAGCTAACACATTGAAGGTAAAACAATAAGAGGAATCACTTTTGTCTACAGTAAAAAGGAATTCTGATCCATCCATTCAGCTAATAATCATGCCATATATCTTGCTGTCAGGAGTCACATCATTAGCACCAGCTCACAATAGTAAAATGATGGAGGGTAGCTGGCATGCTGTACAGTAAATTGGTAATTTATGTAAGAAATAGGAATAACTAGTTAATGACCCTATATGGTACATGACTTGCCTTCCAGCCAAGTGCTGATATTATGAGATGTCTGGCAGCTGTGAGAGGGAAGCCAAGATTTGGGGACCTCTGCTCTCTGTAAGGCATTTGCAATGTCTCTCAGATTTTCTGGCATCGCTGTCATTCCGCCCAGCAAACACCTTGACAATGCAGAAACGTTGTGTTTAATTTGTTTAAGGGTCATGTTCATGCAGTTGCACTCCTGTAACAAAATAATAAATCACAACTGGGCAAAGACTATTTGTTAATTATGCATTGAAATATCACAGATCATGAAGTCCTTTATCACCTAAAGCTAAACTTCAAGCATATTGAAGAAGAAAAAAAACTTCAACTGCATGTATGCTTTAAAATATAAATAAGTAGTTTACAACAGTTTACAACACAACAACTATAACGCTCCATTCACTCCTACACTTTAGTTGTGATTTAAAATTCCTGCTGCAGGAACTTGTGATTTCTGTTTACAAGTGGCAGCTGTCACTTGACCACGTTAATGATCGGGTGATAGCGGCTGCATTTGAAAGAATACACCACATGTAAATATATGTGATTATGATTACATGTAGTTAGGAATCAATCACTTTCCCTGGATGCACGGTCGATGCCTCCAGGGATGTGATTGAAGCAGGAATCCTTAATTGCACCTAAAGTATAGGTGTGAATGAGGGCTAAGTACCTAATATATTTCAACTATGTGTATTTAAACTATGTATTTAGCTATTTGTTTAAAATTCAACTAAAACTATGCAAAGGGGTTGATTTACTAAAGGCAAATAGGCTGTTCAAGGGAATGCATACTTTGCAGGGGAAGTTTCCCTTAGCTTAATGAATGTAGTGAAATTTCACTGTGCAAGAAAAGACTGACAGGAGATCGACAGCAGAGAAAGTAAGAGAAGAAAGACAGCAGAGAAAGTGAGAGAAGAGAGACATCAGAGAAAGTGAGAGAAGAGAGACATCAGAGAAAGTGAGAGAAGAGACAGAGAAGAGAGACAGCAGAGAAAGTGAGAAGAGACAGCAGAGAGAGACAGCAGAGAGAGAGACAGCAGAGAGAGAGACAGCAGAGAGAGACAGCAGAGAGAGACAGCAGAGAGAGACAGCAGAGAGAGAGACAGCAGAGAGAGACAGCAGAGAAAGTGAGATAAAAGAGACAACAGAGCGAGAGAAGAGAGTCAGCAGATAAAAACATGGGAGAGAGCGAGGAGAGAGGGCACAAGTAGAGAGAGAAGACAGCCAAGAGAGGGCCAGTTCACGACAACAAGGTCTGCGTTCCAGAGTGTTCGGCCTCTAGAATGCACTGGAACGCAAGCTACCCGGCTCCCTGCATTCAGGGGCGGGAGGGGGCAAGGTGGTGCATTGCAGTCAATGGCACCGCAGCCACACACCCCGCCCGCAGTGTGATCACCCACACCCAGAAAGCAGGGACATTAGTGCCTGCGTTCCAGTCCAGTGTGATCTGCAAAAATAGTGCTTGCAACAGTTTTGCAGATCACACTGGACTAGAACGCAGGCACTAATGTCCCTGCTTTCTGGGTGTGGGTGATCGCACTGCGAGAGGGGCTATCTTGCCACTGACTTCAATGCACCGCCATGCCCCCTCCCGTCCCTGGATGCAGATGTTTTTTAGTTGGTATATCTCATTGAGCTCGTCATTTAAAAAGTAGATCTCCAGACGAAAAATTGTGGGCACCCCTGCACTAAACTAAGAGGAAGGATCAGCCTATTTGTCTTTAGGAAAATTAACACCAAGGAGGAGGAAATAATCTCATTGTACAAGCCTAGAAGAAATTGTTTATACCCTGTCATGTGAAACTTAGAACCCCTTGCTTGGCTAGCGGGACTCTTTATATGTGACTTCTTTAAATTACACAGATGCTGTAGCTAATTCAATTCAGTTAGGACTTGACCTGAATTTAAACAGCTACATATGCACAATGTACACATTTTGCCAGAGGATGTAAAATCACATATTATAACAACTGCCAAACAGCCAATAATGTTACACTGTTCCTGACTTATTTCTGTACAGGTGTCTTAGAAAAATATTTAATTTCATTTTCATATAATTTTCCAATGGGCATTTTTTTTCAGTTGATGGCATTGGTGGTTTTTCTCTATCATTCATTTTCATTAGCAAATTAGAGAATTTTACAATATGCTAAGTTTCTCCTTGTTATGACTTTATTGGGGACTTCATTGCTCTTAAATAAAAAGCATCAAGAACTGCAATTTCCTAGACATGTGTTTGTTTACAATTGTAGGAATATTTCCCAATTAAGCGGTTAACCATAAATACCACTATGGTCAATTCAAGATGCACATCACAAAAGACATAAAGACATTTCATGAGCTATATTCTTTCTATTTAGCCTGCACTCTAAAGTGCATCGCTCTGCAACTTCCCCTATTGCCAGTGATTAATAGCCCATAAGCGGGAAGAGTCCACAAAGAAAAGTGCCAAGAGAAGCAGGTGCAGAAGGCTTTATATTATCATGACTGCCACAAGCTAATTCAGCAGTGTCAGCTCTAACTGTTATATTCTCATGATAAAATATGAGAAAGGTTGAAATGGATGTTTTCTTCTGCCCTTATAAGGAAAGCAAATCTTTTCAATGTCATGAGAAACACCGGGGACTGCCATAAAGTTTTTTTACTCACTAAATACTGACATTTTTTAACACAAACAATAAACATTTTTGTATTATGCATTTCCATATTTCACACAAATTCTAAACATTACTGTATTATCAACTGGTATATTTTTGCCTAAAACACTATCTGCATAAAGTGAAATTAGCATTTGTAGTCTTGGAACTTTGCTTTAAAGGTTGATTGAGAATAAAATGTTTGGCACAGCCCTACTCAAGAGTTTTTTATAAACCATTTTTAAAAATGGCATGTAGCGATTGGAGGTTGACCACATGATATAATTTATGGTCTTGTTTATATAGGTAATAAAAAACAATTGGTAGCTCTCTACAATCTATTTACCATGGCTGTTGATTTTCTAAAAGAGTAATTATCACTCATTGGTGAAGGGAATGCATGGTCACTTTAAATACCCAACTGCGCGAAAGGATTAAAAAAAACAGGACCTTCTCTTGCACATGACTGGATATTTAAAGCACACAAAGGTTTGTTTCACCAAAATTGAAAACTACTCATTTACTAATAACCACTGTCCATGCTGTGTATGGAGGGGGGTGGAAGTTACTAAAGGAGTAGTAAATTATGCTAAAAGGCTAAAGTATATCTTAATCCAAAAACAAAAATGTAATTATTGCTGATTCCCAGCTCTTCAATATGGTGGCTGCATTTTCTTTTTTTAAGATTTATGTGATATTAAAGTCAAAAGATTTATACAATGCTTTTTTCTGGGCAAAAAGGTTCCGGTACTTACTGCGGTGGCCATCTATGGGCAGGAACAAACTGCACATGCGTGCATGCGCAGTACGTCCCCGCTACCACAACCAAGATGGCCGAAACAACAAACCTCAGGGACAGTGGCCATTTTGGTCATGGTAGCAAGGATTCACTGAGCATGCGCAAGACCCACACGGGGTGATAACGCTTGCCACAAGGGCGCCTTTTAAAAATAAGTTTTGTGATTCTATATCACAAAAAAATTAATAAAGGGCTGGCGGTCATGCGTACCGCTAAAAAAAGCCCAGGATTTATATTTGTAACACTGATTAAATCACTTACAATGGATACAGCTCCTTGAAGTTTAAAAGTGTTAGCTTCCTGCAGAACCAGCTGGTCGCCTGAGCACTGGCCCTAATATCCTGTTTTGGGTGGCTCCTTTCCCTTGCAAGGTCCTCTAGAGACGCCCTTGTGTGTGCTAGCAAGCTGTGTGTGTGTCTGCACAAACACAGGCACAGCAAGGCAAGCCACTCCCCTGCTCCCTGCACCTCATTTCTCCCTTCTCCTTTCTCCAAGCTAAAGAGATGGACATCTGCTGGTGACTGCTCTGTCCCCTGTGTTCTTGTACAGGGCAGGAAGTTCAGGGAAGCTGATCTGAAACAGTTGGAGCCAGAAGTCTGGAAACACGATGACTGAAAGAGCCTGGGCAAAAAAAAGTTATACTTTGCTGGGTAATGAATGTTTTTTTGATTTGGATCCATTATTGAAAAAGGCTTGAAAGTTTAATACTACTTTAGGAATATTTCAGCACGTACAGAAAATAACTGTAGACCTTGCCAGAAATATAATAGTCACATCTTGTGAGCTTGAAAAGAAAGCAAAGGGAACTTTATTTTTATTGTGCAAGGTACTAATCCCATCAATCCACCATGTAATGGAGCTGAACATGAGCAGGCATGAAGTCTAGCCTGGGTGATAACAATGGCTTCCTGAATATATACAATGATGAAATGAGCTTAACCATGAAGGGACAGGAAGGGTGTTATTTGCAGGATAACCAGGTGAAAATGAAGGAAAGAATACCTGAAAAAGGAAAACGAATACAGTCACTACAACTAAGTATATATATACTAATGTATACTACTATATACTAATATATAAAATGTTTGTTTTGGTGTTTAGATATGTGCATTACATGAAGTGAATTGGCACAACTTTCACTGGGGGTAGCACAAGTTCAAACTGTCCAACGGATGGGATTACAGTTTTTACCTGTAGGAGAATGTATGTACTAGGTTGCTGATTTGGCGCAGTCCGATTATTATTAGAAAAGGTCTCTTGGAATGACATTTTTACATCATCGATCTGCGGCAAGAACAAGAAGTAGTTTCAATAAGTAAAGCAGTTTAACTTGCAAAACATTAAAGGAATTAATAATCTTTTCATATATTTTTTTATATATACTGTATATATAGTCCTGATGTACTACAGTGTGAAGTAAGGTTTTATAAACATTCAATCATGTATTTTAAAAAATACAGTTTCCCATCAGATGTTTAACTCACCTTCCTTCACAGCTTTAGCCCCCATCTACACATGTGAACGTGCAAAGATTCACAAGATTGCATGCCTGGTGTGAATGGGGGCTTATAGTTAGGCCCGTAGGCTCTCAGGTAATGATGTGTTAAGAAAATATAAGCAAAGCTATTGAAAACACAGCAATATCTTATTAACAACTAGCTTTCATAAAGATGCAAAAATACAAAAAACATTTGTTTCACTATGTTTACATTCTGAGACAAGGAATGCAATGCAGAGTTTTGTATCTGATATAATGCATAATGTGTGAATATATATATATTTTTTTTAATGAATGTCGATCCTTAAAGTTATAGGTCATATCTAAAGGTTTTTGGTATTTAAAGCATACCTGAATCAATGGAGGGAGTTGTTCTAACACCATTTCGCCGACAGTACGCAAGTAGGCCAGCTGTTTTATAGTATTGCCACTTCCAGATGTGATTATCGGCTGAGAACTTTGCATGGTATCATACATCACCGAGAGAGTGTGCATAAATTCAGAGGCACTAAAATGAAAATAACAGTATGCAATCATTACTGCATTTTTCCACATTTCAAACATTTTAACTGCATGGGCCCAAAATGGGTCATTTTTATTCAGCTGGTAAAACTAATAGTTATGTTTATTGCCATTTTCAAGATGGTTTCTATCTACAGGAGTTGAAACTACAAATTAAATAAGACTCCGGTGGCCAGCAAAAGGACTAGTGCATTTTAGAATAGTTGTAGAATGGTGTAAGCAAATAAGCATTTTATATTTTTTATCTTATTGACCAAACAACACTGATGTTATTATGTACCCCAATATAGCTAGTAATTAATCATAATCCAATGGACTTGTTCTGTAATGTTGAAAACGCGTTGCCACTCATCTAAAGGCTTCCTCAGTTCTAATGAGTGTCTGGAACATATCTCAGCATTTATATCCACACAGGGAACTCAGTCACTTTAATTCAATCAATGTGGTGTCATGTAATATGTTAAGGCAGATGCTGAACAAATATACTAATTTAC